ATTCTGTACTTTTGAAATACGTCAATAATTCCAACAAATAGCAATAATCGTTCATTATTATCACCTAGAGCAGGTATACTACCTATTAATGAATCAAAATTTTCTTTTGGCAAAGTTTTAGTAGTATCTTGAATACTATCCATTCCTATTGAATTATTCATCAAACGTTCCCACCTGGCTATAGCTGCTTTATTTAAAGAAGTGTCTGGTTCTTGAACTTGATCGATATAGTGAATGCCTATTAAAAGACTGTAATSYTTTATATTATATTYTTTTAGAAAATCACAATCACTTTTGATGATTTTGAGAAGATCAYTTMGAGTATTTGGCATCAACAATATACCTTCAGGATAACTTGTKTTAAAGTTATTTTTTTTGTAAGTAGGCATATTTTCTTTATATAAAGCATATCTATTGTTTGTCGATCCTTTTAGATCATACATTTCGTGTATTTCCACGTCTGAAGGTAATAAATTAATCATAATTACTAATATGATATTTATTAAACAAGAGGGTATATACTCATAAAGACCCGTAAATTTAGTCAGCATAGAGCCCTGATTTGAATTTAAATGATTGATGTAATGTTTAAGCATATTTCTTAATAACTCACGTTCTCTTTTCTTAATAGTTTTAATAATAAACTTTTGATCCTCTGTGATGTAAAATTTTGATCTACTAATACCCGGTTTGAGCAATTTTATCAGTTGGTGATTACATAATGAATCTAAGTAATCAGATTTGTTTATATCAAATAAGGATCTGAGATAAGCATATGCTAAGAAACCATAAATCTTGAATGTCCAATTTGGATAAGAGTAAGTTGGAGTTTTTTCAACATCATGTGATTTCTCATGAACAGTGTTATAATCAGACTCACCTAACTTGAATTCAGGCATTTCAATCATGTTGATTAATCCTCTATATAAACCTAATTGTATGCATTTCTCAGTTGGAGCAGATTGGATTTTATAATGGCTGTTTTTCTTCTGCACAATCACATTCCTGTAAACACCTAAAACGATTTTAAATTCAAATCAATATAAATGAATATATTGAATAAAATGAATAACTAAAATGTAGAAATGGGTTGTCGATGACTTATAAATAACACATGAAATAGCCCTAATAACTCCAGAAAAATNTTTTTTCTTTTTATTAATTTATTAAATTGAACTTCATTTATTTTTATACAACCTAACCTATCAATATAGATTTGTGAATGGATAGTGTGGTCCGTGTGAATTAGTTCATTAAATAGATTTCGATATACTATTTCAGGAAATTTTTTTTTTAGGTGGGTACATAGACTGGTATTAATTTCGTAATTRTGTATACTTAATGGGGGGATAAGGCAAGTTTCCTGTTGAAAAATTGTGTCAGGAGAGATATTGTTGTCTGTAATTTCTTTTGATAATCTTAGGATTAGTGGCTTTCTGAGTTTAGTGTTTGACTCATAAATAGATGAAAAATGATTTTCATTTATAATGAAATGTTGAGTTATCTATCTGRTGTAGACAAGATTCTAGTTATATACTTGAGAGATAGCTTAATTCTGCGGAACTGGAGTGGTGGTTCTCCAGTAATGGATAGTAAGCTAGTAATAGGGCTACTTCWAAAGACTCCAATTGAATACCTTATTCCAGTATTATGGACTGGATACAGAATTTTTGTAATGTTCAAGTTAGAATTACCAWAGCAAATTGAACCATAATCTAGTTTGGACCTAACAAGTGATATGAATAGGTTTAATAGAATTTATTTTTACAATTGTGTAATATCAAAAATGAAATTTTTTGGAGGGGGGGAGTGGCAAATTTTATGTTGCCCCTGATGGCAATTTTTTTTAAATGGACTAGCTTGTTGCAATTAATATCAGCGGTATGTATGCCATTTGTATTATGACACTATATTTAAATAKGTAGTCATCTGATAWTCTAATGTTTTTAAATAGTATGTGAAATGTATATTTTATAAAATAAAAAACTAACCTTAATGTCATTCATACTTATAAAATTCTGCAGTAGTGCACATATGATTTGTTATCAGACGGGGTTAATGCATGTAATAAATCTGAATGTGAAATTTAGTTTTATAAAAAAAAATAGCAAAAGATAAACATTTCAAAGGTTGAGAGAATGTGCAAGAGTAGAAAAAAATTGTTTGTATAGTAATAATATGTATGCTACAATATTGTCAGCTTCTATTGTCAGTTTTTCGTGTTTCCAAGAGCAGGACAGTTATTGAAAAATYAATAGCACGAATTGCAATTCGTAGCAAAATCAATTAATGATACATATTAGAAATCATAGTCTAAAACTGCTAAACTTTTCATTACTTATTGTTTTGTTTCCTACGATTGGAATTTATT